GCTGCTTTCAGCATGGAGGGTCATGACAAAGGAAAGAAGAAAGAGTTTGGTGTAAATATTGAAAAAGAACGGGGGACTGAGAGAAGATTTTAGGGAAGTGAAGGAGTGTTTGGAAACGTCGCTCTCTGCCTTTCTGTGTTTCATGTCGTGCTTCTCTGAGTGTACAGCAGAAGGGATGTTCTGGTGACTCGCAGCATACTGACAAGATCCTGAAGCAAATGCTAACTGAAGATCCGATCTCACCGCATTTCTGTTTACTCTGGGGATTAAATTAAAGAACACAGCATCCAATTTCATCCCTGGCTTCCCGCACCAACCATCCCAATGTGACATTTACACGTAGCAGGATGCCCTTTCTCTCTCCTTGACTCAAAGATGATACACAGTGTAGCAAACAAGCATGGTTGAGGGAGGAAAATGATGCTAGCTTTAGACAGAATGGAAAAAGATTTGCTTACGGGACTAACCCTGACGTTTTCCCCTTCCCCCACACTTGGAGACTGGACTATTACTCTTCTGCCAGAGACAAACCTGCTTATTCCGTCCCTGCTTTCCGTTGCATTATCGCTGAATCTGCATTGAAGGTACACTGCTTAGCTGCTCTGCACAGATAAAGATGGCAATTAGCTGCCAGAAGTTGAGGATTGCACAATCCATTATGAGGAAACCTCTGGCCCCAGCAGCAGAGTTACTTCAAAATTGTGGCTTCATCTGTTGTGGAAGAATACGACTGTTTCTGTTTTAAACTCATTCATCGCACACATGCATGCACACACAAAATATCTTCAAAATCTCTTTCTGGGGCTGTTAAAATGTGAGGTATCCTTTTTATCTTAGTGATTATCTTAGAGATTTATAATACTCCATCAAGCAACATTTGTTATATGTCATTGGGTCAAATGATTTCCTCTTATGTGAACGTACCACTGACCCCAGTGAGGATCAATGCACCAGCTTGTATCTTTCTGTACATTTCAGCTGCCTTAACCAAATCTTTAAATTGTTGGGCCACATGGTTAAGTCACTTTAACTCTCATACACATTGCCTCATATATAGAAAAGGTATGAGTGCACAAGTGTGTGTTGATATACGTAACAATAAAAAACATTGGTATCGGCTTCACCAATCGGCTAAATTGTTATTTTAATAATCAGTATCGACCCAGAATTTCACAACCGGTGTGTCCCTAGCCTAGAGCCATAAAACAAGTTGAAGAAATGCTCCATAATCTTCGCCTTTTCTGAACCACACATCACTGAAAGCCTTCCAAACATAAAAAAAGTTAATTAGATTATGTGGAGATGGTTGTGCCACCCTCAAATCGCTCGAAATTGTAATCAATTGCTGCGCTAAAAGTTCAAACTATTTCAACTTTGACCTTTTTTACCGCTGACATTTCGATGTGCAACCAATCAGATGACAGCTGAATGAAGCACCGCAAGCTAGCAGGGGAGGTAACCGTGGTAATGAAACTTAATTAGCTGTTTTCACTGCAAGACTCTGCGCCTTACATCGCTGTAAGGAAAAAGCTAATTGTGTATCATGTTAATGCAGCCATACTGAAGCATGATACGGCCTGACCGCGTACAATACAGCCATAAAGTGTGGCATTGATGATATCTAATGGGTCTAATCCGACATGGAGCGATGAATAAACACCAACTGCAGAGGTAGCTGCGTCAGGACCCTCTACATCTTCTGTAAATCCAGCTTTAATGGAGCGAACCAGATAAAACTCGAGCTGGGGACAGGCACCGATGTCAGATATTACTTTGTTTATATAGAATCTGTAAGAAATATATAGTGATTGTTTGCTAATGTGCTTGCCTTTGTAATTGAATAAGCTGATACTGAGGCTGATCGATGTGAGTCTGTGTAGAGTTTACTTTCTGCCCTCCAGCAGTCTGATACTGCAGCTTTAAAACAAACAAATCATAATCTACTGACTCTCTATCAACGTCTCTCTTGTTCCTCAAGTTTTAGTATTAACAACAGTTCAGTCCATTAGTTTACAATGTGCGTGCTGTTATTACTTTCTAATGATGTGTTACGAGTAGCGCAAGTAGAAGAAGCCTAGATAACTTACCTAAAGGAACAAGAGAAGTTTCTACTTTACAGCATATTAACATGACCTTCAACAAAGCACGTTTTCTGGAACCGAACGTCAGCTTAAATAAAGAGATAAAAGTCAACAAAAAGTATTCAAAAGAAAACCAGCGAGTGGGAATTTGGCTATTTTTGGCATTTGTTATTCATTTTGTTCTTAAATTATTTAGTTTTATGCATTTATGAATACTGCAGGCAATGAATAGTGTTTGTTACTAAAAGCACTGGATAATGATATGTTGATTCAAATGCAATACTGTAAGAAAAAGTGTTTGGTTGATTCTTCTGAAACACATTTGACAATAATGGTTGACTTAACTGTGGGAAAGATGATTTTTATTAAAACAAGGTTATGAGGTCTAGTTTATGTTAACACAAACCATCTCCCACTATGGTTAACATGTGTTTCATACTTTATTTCTTCTTTCTATGGGAACTCTTGGGCCTCATATTTAATGAATGCTTCAAAGACACTTCGACACTCCTCTTATTCCTTTAACAGCCTACTTTAAAACATCATTCACCTATATTAGCATATGAACTAGGTTTTTATCACCTTATTCTTTGCACATCTACCTGAATCAGTGATGTGTTAAAGGTCCCATGTCATGCTTTTCCGGTTATTACCCGTCCCCTTGTGTGTTGTGTAGCTTTTTCTGCATGTAAACGGTCTGCAGAGTCACAAACCCTCAAAGTACACCCTGTAGCGAGTAAAACTCTAACACAGAAAAGACCCGTCTATGCTGCCCCAGAACGCCTCGTTGGAGATTTCTCTTTTTCCATTTTTTTCTTCCTGGTCATAGTGACGTAACGCCAACCAAATGGACCAATCCGCGGAGCTCCGCACACACACACACACACTCAGCCTTATCTTTTCTCAGCCATGGCTCCGTGGCCTGGCTGTGAGTGTGTGTGTGTGTGCTCAGGCTGAGTTCCGCTGTGTCTCGCTGTCTCGCAGACCCCACGCAGCAACCAGGAAACGACACCAGTAATCCAGCTCACACTGTCCGCTCCGCGAGCCTCAAAGGGCGCAGCAGGGAGCCCTGCAACGTCCCGCCAACACGGCACCCAGACCCCAAGCAGCATTCTCATCTGTTTGTCATTACTGGTGTCATTTTCTGGTTGCTAACAAACGCCATTGTAACACATAATCACTGATGTTCCGCTGTAACGGTGGTGGACTCATCAGAACATAGTGGGCGAGGTGACCAATGAGAGCACAGTGGGCTCATAGGGAGGGGGGGGCAGGAGCTCCAACAAGGCGTGTAGGACAGAGAGTGAATACACATACTATACAGACATGCTGTATGAGAAAACCAATGTGATTTTGGAACATTGAACAATCTATTCTAGTAGACCTCAACAATGGAATTATGATCAGTAGAAATGGCCATGACATGGGACCTTTAACTAACGGATTCACTAACAAATCACTTTTACACAAAAATGCACTTGGCTTTTCTGACTTAACGCAGCCTACTCATTGAATTAAGCAGTGTCTTAGACAGATGATGTTGTACAAAAAAACGTTACTTTTGGCATAATCAGCATGTGTGAACTTTTTTTTGGATTTCATCAGAAAATAAATGTGGACTGGTTGCTGGAGAATATAACACCTATAACATGATTAAAGGACTTCAAGGTGCTTCAAAGGGTTCCCTCCTAACTGAAAACCTCAAGGCAATGAAAACAGCAAGGAGATCACAAACTGTATTTTCAAAAGAGCTTGCATCACCGCCTCGATAACCCAAAGTCCTCAGGTATGGAAGACAATACCCGTCCAAGGCTTATTAAGAGCTGATCCTTCTTTTATTAAAGGCTTCTTTACGGGGATTCCTGTGGCTCAGCAGTGTGAACTGACTGATACGCTCCGCTGCAGACGACCTGCAGACCCCTCCGGATCTCGCTCCAATTAGAGGCTGGGGGAGACTGAGACACCCTGCAGGTTGTGAGCTTTTCCCTGCTGAGTGAAAGGTAAGGAGGATGTGGTGACAAGAGCTCGCTGAGGCGCAAAGAGAAAAGGTGCCACGTTATCTTTTCCACTGACAGCTTAAAACGTTTAAAGAATACATTTAGTTTTTTCTTGAAATGTAATTCTTTATCATTTGCTTTGAGAAACGGTGTAATGATACCATAGAAATCCTTGTTTCCTGTAGCTTTCAGGATTTTAACTGTGAGTTTAACCATTGTTACCAGAAGAAAATGTCTCAAAAGAAGCCAATCACAATGACAATAAGTTGACATCTGATTGACTGTTTTTTTTTTTTTTTACTGACCCAGGGACCAAAACACCAAACATGGAGCTACAACCAAAGAATTTCAAATGGGGCTCAAATAACAGCATAAAGAGGAATACAATAAATAGATAAGATAAATAATATAGACATATAAATAAACTGGCTGCAGATGAAACCAAACAAATCATCTTAGTTTCCACCACAATGGATTGCTCTGCTTTGGACGATAACGACGTCAAATGTCTACTCATTGGAAAATATTATCCACAGCAAAGTCAAAACAATCAGAAACAAAGGATAAAATCTGCTTCACTTCCGTTTCGCTTCTCATGCACTGATTCGCTAGCTGAACAGCCAATCAGAGTGATTTATTTGACCGACAGCCTTTGGCCAATCGGCCAAAAAGGTGTCGACACGGCCGAAAAGACACCACGGTACGGGACACACCACTCTGAGTAGGGCGACACGACGCTTATCGACGGCCAGACATCTATCGACGGACGAAATCGGCCCGGTGTGTCTGGGCCTTTACATGAAGACAATATGTATAGTCTAGTTTCACCCAGTCTTGTGAACAAATCCTTCTCAGATTGGTCAAAAGTAGAAAACCTCATGAACTTTTAGCCTTTTGAGCCTAGAGGCCATGAGACACTCACCAAACATGTTGCCAATGTGCCCGTTTTTGGTCAAAGGCCGCAGCTCATTCTTCCCCCAGGCGTAGCGCTTGTAGTTGTCCCAGGCAAACTTCATCATCTGCAACATAAACAGAGCAGACAAACTGGTCAGAGGACTGAAAGCAAAACCACAAAGCTCCAAACCCAGACATAATTAAATTGTTGTACTCTGGCTCAGAACCAAACAGAACGATAGCTTGTTGATCAGACAGGGTTAAGGGCATTCATGCAATAAACACACATAATGCACACTGCTATACAATATGATTGACTTTTCCCTGTAGCTACTTCTCCTAAATTAAAGATTGAATCATGTCAGTAGATGAAAAGCCAGACATTGATGCCCTTTAACTCCACTGAAAAATATATGTGGATTTGGTGTGATGTGAAGAAGATAACTGTCTTTTTTTCGCATTAAAGCAGAGCCAGCAAGACTCTGAACGATGAAGAGACAGAAAGTGTAATCTTTTCAGCTGAAATCACAAAGTTGAGTCGTGATGCTTCTCTGCCTTTAGCGACAGCGTAACAATTAGTTAAGAAGCTTGTGACGGAAAGTTGGTTTGTAATAATCTAATACATTCAAAGATATTTAAAAACAAATATGATAAAGAGCATAATAATACTGACAATGCCGGTGTAGAGCTCACACAGGTTCAGAAAACAAACTCTACTGATAGCTCCCAGGTTATTAAAGTGTATCTGACAAAGCAACAATTCATTTAAACAGATATCTCTGTGAGGCATTGCCAAGGAGATATCACAAATCAGAATAAAGCAATACAGAGAATTGGGCCAGCTACCCACCCGTGTTTCGCAGGTGTAATGACTGCTATGCTCATTTAGCATGTTGGCATGCTAACATTTGCTAATTAGTACTTATTCAGGGTATATGCAAGAATCCTGAAGTCAAATGTAATACCTTTTAAGACCTTTTTTAAGACCCTTTCCATACATTTTAAGAACTCATCGCCACTTTGAGTTTTAACCGGTTACATTGGCGACACACTTTACCTCACATTTACTATATACAGTATTGATTGTCCTTCCTCCTGATCTTCCAACCATTTGGATGCAAACTTGCATTTCCCCATAACGATGTTGTTTAACAACCGGCGTAAACGGACCTTCGCGCGCTATCAAGCAGTGAGCGTGCGATGTCCTGTTCAGATGACGTCAAATCCAACGGGATGCCATAAATAAACTACACAGAATCACACTACACACCTACGCAATGATTACATTCAGGAATACTGTAGAATACAACCTCTTTGGACAATTTATATACTTATTGAAAACAAGCTACAAAATGTAATACCTTGGAAAATTCCGTTTAATACTTTGTTATAGCCTTCATTTTTGCTAAATTGATTTATCAACTTTTAATACTTTTTAAGATCCCGCGGACACCCTGTTATTTGAGTTCAACAAAGGCTCATGTATGCCATTGAAGGCAGGTATTTGGGCCTCAAACAAAGTTTAACCTGATGATGACGCTAGCTTAAACGACAAGGGATCATCAAGCTAGATAATCAGCCATTGCAGCCACCCTGAAGTGGGGCATAACATGATGTTGGAATGGAAATTCATTAAGAATGGGACATTATTAGGAAAAGTTGGAGGTTTGTCAAAGTTAGCAGTTCCAGCAATATCTGTACTAGTTGAGGTGTTCGGAGTGGTCGACTCATTGATTTTACTAGAAGATAAGGTATGGATTAGTGTGACATCTAGATAAAAAATACTTGTTTTAGATTATAAAGGACATCAAACAACACCATCACCTTCTTGTTGATAAAGACACACTTTTAAGTTATTTGTGTGCATTGATATCTCAAATGTATGACAATAAAACAGTAGTTATGTAAGGCTGTTTCCTCATGATTCAGCTTCTATTATGACTTTGGCAGCAAAGAAGATGGGTTTTCTTTCAAGGAAATGAGAACATTTTCTCCAAAGAGACGTCATTTTGCATGTGCATACGAACAAAGAATATATAGCATTGAATACATTGAAAACTATTTCCAGCTGCAGGTATACAAGTATACTTGACTCAAGTGCTTTCAACTGTTATGACATGTTCATGAAACTCAATGGTCTACTGCATGATCAAACGAACTTGAAGAGAAAATCCCTTCAAGCAATCTGTGGCAAGATGTTGAACAGATGTTGAGAGAGGTGTTTGATTTTGTTTTCCACTCTGGATTTTCACAGCACGACAACATCATCTCTTATATCGAATACAATACGGGACACCTGGCACTCCAGAGGTGAGCTTGTACAGGCCTGTGAGAAATGGACAACATGAATCCGATGACCTCTGACAAACCCACCAGCTGAGAATCCTGTCACCCAAAAAAGCTCATTAGAGACACCTCAGAGAATACAGCGATCAAGCCATTTCTCAAACTAAAACAACCACAGTGTCCAGGAACCCAAAACAGCGACTGGGATTTGATTATAGGTTAATGATATACCACTCAACCATTTGGAGGCAAGTGCACCAGTTAAGTTTGGGATTTGTGCCACACATTAAAGCACAACTGGAACACATCCATAGATCAGAAGGAATAACACATCAGGGTCATCTTTGTTGTTTTCTTGTTGTTTTCGTCTATGGCATTAAATCTGAGAAAGCAGCACTTTCTCCATCTACAAAAACAAATACTAATAATGTATGCAGGAGCGATATTATACAATGGAGCAAAAACAAGCAGACTGTATGATTAAAGCAAATAGCACCAAGGAATCTTATGTTCCCAAAAAGGTAATAATTTTCTTCAAAGTGATGGAAGAGCAGAAATACCCGGCGCTAGTAAGATTGTGTCCCGACATAATGTTCTGCCTCTGAGTACAGCAAAATGTCTCAAGTTTTATTTCCAAGTGACTGCATCTTTTATAATGTCAGATTGCCTCGTTCCTCTGGAAGCTTTACAAGTAAAGAAACTAAAGTAAACGGAGAAAGGTGTTTGAATAATAAAAGGTTGGCCTTGGTAAATGTTAGAACTCCGTGTCCCTCAATGTTTATTTGAGGGACACGGAGAGTTTTCGCAGAAATGATCAAAAGGCATAATGGAGTCTGTGAGAGAAGCAGGACTTTACGACCACTATCAACTGTTGGGGAAAGTAGAAAACAGGCAGATGGGATGCTCAAACTGCATGACTGAAGGCATAGAAAATGTAAGATGGCAGCATTAATCATCAATGACGTGACTCTAAAAGGAGCTAAAAGAAAGCAGCTGGCATTGAGTGGATTTGATGGAAATGCTCACAGTCTTATAGATGATTGATCAAAAGCAATAAACAACAGATCAATCAGTAGTGAGAAAAGAAACCCTGGATTGCCTCATAACTTGTCACAAAGTATATTCTGATGGAGGGATCACAAGATCTTGCATTAAGAAGTTTTATTCATTCAAAACATTCAACACAGAACGCAATTTCATACCTTTTCATGAGCAAACCGGACAAATGATGAATGGATGACCAATAGGCCTGGAATTATGTTTTATTAGCTCAGGGTTATTTTTCATTACTTATTACTTACAAATTGATATACAAATTAGAGCGACCTGGGCCAGGGTAAGAAGCATATAATTATATGGGTTAATCAACTGAAAATGATTACTTAATTTAGGTTTTTTTCTTTAATTAAAGTCACATCGGTATGGATGACTCCATTGTATGGCTTGGGGATTTTGCGCACATGTTCCGTAGATTATGAAGTACCTTTACTCGGGTACAAGGCAATCACTATGTGAAATGTGAGCAGCCAGGTAGTGTAAACGTGACAATAGTGTTCAGCCAGGGTAAAAAAAAACAATTACATCTTCTAAAAGAAAAAACACCCTTAGTATTAAAAAACAAACTCTGTTAAAAGGTTTTGGTAACTGAATTAAAATATGAAAAAGATTCCAAATACCAGCACAGACAAAAGTTTGTTTCATGCGGAAATGTGAGCAAGTTGAAAGCCACAATCCACACGAATATTTAGCTAAGTTTCCTGCTGCGACTGCAGAAGTTTCATTCCACTGGAGCGAAACAGATATCTGGCATTGTGTTTTCACATCCCTGCTGTTGTGCGCTGCGGAGAGTCAAAGTGTGGGAGGACCAGGGTCACACAGCCGCAGGATTTCTGATGTAACAACCCATCATCACAGCACACAACACACACCGCTGTGATCAATAACTGCAACCACGGCCCAGCACGCCACCCACAACGCTGCTTCTCCAAGAGAGCAAACGCATGAATGATTCTCTTCCACAGGCACAAAAAGCAGACAGAGACACACAGTGACTGTTCTCTGGTTTAACTAATTGGCTGGTTGTTGGGCAGAGGAGATCAATAACTAAACACAGAGCCAGTGATTAAAATTAATCAGGGATTGACCAGGGGTACAACACCAAAAGCGTAGGTCAGACGTCACACGCTGCTAATCAAGTGATCAAGGATGGTTCCAGAACATCAACCAGATCATAAGGTTGCATAAGAGATTTCATGTACGCTGCATTAACTCAAAAGCCCTTGTCAAAATATGAAAGGAAGAGATGCAATATCACAGCCTAGAAAATCTTCAAACTGTAGTAATATTCACTTTCCTTCTCCACTTGAAAGAAAATAAACTATTACTCTCTTTGAAACCACCAAAGCCCAAAAATAAGTCTACTAAAAATGACTTTAAGAGCTATTCTTCGCTATACTAGAAATCAATATGTTTGTAGTTTAGTTTTAGTAACACTTCTAGCGGAAATTACACCACATGAGGGTTCAATTATCTCCGTGTTGGTCTTTGCCTTAATAGAAAAGCACAGCATGGACACTGAAATGGTCTTCAGGGTTTCCTCTGCATCACTCCGAGCAATAGTAGGTCTGTCTGGAAGAAAATGTGAATAGCACAGGTGCTTAAAGAAGAAGAATGACCTTGATAGTCCATTGCGTGAACACTAAAAGAGCAGTAGTTTGGCTCTTACTTTGATCAATTTGAATATGCACATCTAGCAATCTATAGCTACCGTGGACTGGAGTCTTTTAAAGCTTTTCATACTGGTCACTGTGCAAACGACATGTATCTAACCAGGTCCAAT